ACACACACACACACACACACACACACTAACACATACACAGATGTAACCTTCTACTAGGTGCCCATATACCGCATACACACACACACACGTGTACACACACTCACACATACACATATGTATATGCACACACAAATAAAAATGAAAAAAATCCACGTTGTGTATGGATATGAGACTGTAAATAAGGACAAAAAAGTTTCCATGAATGCGCTTGTGTGTGTATGTGTGCACAGTTAGATGCCACTTAAGAACAGGTGTTTGTTCTGAGAAATGAGCCATGACATGATTTTGCCATTTTCAAACCATGTGTGTATTTACACAGCCTGTGACAGGTGCTGGGTCCCTAGGTGATGCAATCACATGGAAACACCCAGGATACAGAATGAGATAGAGGAGGCCGATCACTGGCCACACCGCTATGAGTGGTGTCTGTAGGTCACGACCTTTGGCTTTGGTTCTCCGGAGACCCCTGGCCCAGGCCATAGTTAAGATGAAATTTCAAGTGCTCAGAGTTCCCACTGCTGTCTCTTGCTTCTGCAGGAGCATATGGCCATCGACGCCACTCTGGAGCCTTGCGAAAGGCCTAGATTTTTGTTTGGTTTGTATTTTGATCCTGCAGAGGCCAGCAGGATGCCCTGTCTTGTGGGGGAAAAAAATCCTTTTGAATTTGTAAAAAGCAACATTGAATCAGCACAGCAGCTGGGAAGTCAGGGAATCTGCAGAACAGCAGAACACCATGGACTGTGGTGGCAGGAGGCAGATGTTTCAAAAATAATAAATTAATCACAAACCTGCTGGGTCTGCCAATATCTGCCCGCCACCCGACTCTAGGGCATCTGAGCTCCAGGCTCCCCTAGGTTATGCACTGCTTGGCTGAAGGCCATTCCACTGTCCAGTGGCCGGGGTTACTGTAAACTGGCGTGTCCCACCAGCGTCTCTGCTCCTGGATGCACATGTGGACACATGGGGGAGTGAAGGGCAGGTGTGCAGGTCAGCACCATGCCTCTGCCGGGTAGCAGTGAAGCTTGTGATGTCTGACTATGCTGCAGGTGCCTCTCAGGGAGGGTTGGCTTTCCCTTCTCTTCCCCAACCTCCTCTTGGGATTTGATGATTGGGCAGAATTCATGGCGTCTCTGACCTTGATTTATAAACAAGAATGGTGACATATCAGTGTTAGTGAGAACTGTCTTAGCGTGTACAAGGGCTATTTGGGGACTTCTGGGAGGTTCTGCAAAATCTCATGTGTTATGATGATAAAACTGAGACTTAAAGGAAAAAAAAACCAAACTTCTCAAGGTCTTGTGGATACCAAGCAGATAAAGCAGGCCTTCAAACTGAGGCTCATCCTGAGCTCCGGGTTCTGTTGTCCCAGGCGCTAGGAGCTAAGGAAAACCTATAAAATGGATGAGTGTTGAACCACCTAGAGCAAATCCAGGATTCAGTTGAATTCAGCATCTGTCCTCCTTGAATGTGAGGAGGCAGTGTTGGGTTTTCCTCTGTTGTATGCCCCCAGCGTTATCTATGGGAGCTTTCTTAGCCCAGGGTCACCTACTTAGCTTCCTGGTCTTGATCAGTCTTTCATCTGCCATATGGGCATTCTGGCATGCCTCCATCCTGCCTCCCTGGTGCCTCCATGGTCACCTCTGTAGTGTTTCCAGGGGAGTGTCCACGCTCTCTCCCTCTCCAAACCCCCAGCCTTTCATTAGCATTTCCGTGCCAACCGTGGCATCCCGCCCAGTCTTCATTTCAACTTGTCAAACTCGGATCAGAAGCTCTGCTTGGGGCCACATAGGAGTCAGCCACGAGTGGTCTCTTATCTCCCATCCAAGTTCTTTCTCCAGCGATGTTCCTGCTAGTGTCACTGTCCCCAATAGCTTGGCTACAGGCCTGAAAGCAAGGCAACAGTCTTGCCTCTCACACTTTGTGACCAGACAGGAGCAGCTCTTCCTCCCCACAGCCGCGTGACCAGAGGCTCGAGGCTCAGAACGATGTGGATGCATTAGCTGACAGTGACCTTTAAAGAAACAATCTCTATTGAGATGTGATTCCCATTGCACATATTTTTAATTATGCGTGTTTCTCTGTGTATATGCCAGTGTGCATAGAGGCAAGAAGGGGGCCCGGAACTGGAATGATACAGGCAGATCTGAGCCTCCCAGCATGGTTGCTGGGAACTGAACTTGCGTCCTCATCAAGACCAGCGAACACTCTCAACTGAGCTATTCCTATGGCTCCTCGCTGCGACTTTCCTATTCCCCCTGCCCACATCCTGACTGCCCCTCTTCTAGATTTCCATTCTGGACACTGCACAGGGGTGACCTTATATAACCTGTGATCTTTTGTGACCGTCTTCTTTGACGGGCATAGTTTCCCGGGTTCACCCGTGTTACAGCACATCATGCTTCATTCCTTCCTATTATTGAGTTGCATTCTCTTATATGACTCAAATTAGTGCCCAGCAGTAAGTAGCTGGTGGCGTCATGCCGAATTGCTCAGGGAACTGCCAGATTCTTTCCACAAGGGGCTGCGCCATTTTACACTCTGATTTCTACACATTCTTGTCAGCGCCTGTAGCGGTCTGACCTTGGTTTTTAGCTACTTTCCTGCAGCAGTGTTTCATTGTGGGGTCTACATTTGGTTTTCTTGATGACTAAAGAGAAATGTCTTTTTACTTTATTTTTAACTTCATTGGGACAAGGTCACACTATGCAACACAAGGGAGCCTTGAACTCACCATCCTCCTTTTTTAGCCTCTCAGGTGCTGGGATTACAGGCATGTGCCACCACATTCAGCTGGGTTATGTCCCTTTTTATGTGCTTACTGGCCATTGGTGTTTCTTATCAGAGGCCTTTGATAATGGGACTTACTGATCATGGAGATTCATTTTGTCTCTCCTCACACTAGAACGCACCCACTGATCGGTCACTCCGTGCAAAGGTGATCCTGAGCCACAGGGGCCCTGGGACTACAGACATGCGGCTGAACCACAAACAGCAGAAGACGCTGTACCTGAGGCAGCCACTCACAATGTGGGGCCCCAGCGCTTCGGTCTCTGTCTTCTCTCTGCCTGTCTGTTCCGGGGCTAGTTCTGAAACCTGCAACAGGTGACAAGTTCAGGGGTGTTATGGTGTCACACTTAGTTACCAAGAACAGCTCTGTCCCTGGATGCAAAGTAAAGATCAACATTGCTGTTATGAATCAAGACACCGAAGAGCGATAGTGGCCTCCACGAGTGACCGGACTAGCCAAAGTGCAGAACCGGCCACATGCGAGGTGGCCTTCAACTCCCGATCTTTCTTTCTCAGCCTCTCAAGTTCTCCTTGATTTACATCTAGCTGTGGGTGGGAAAACTTCAGCGGCCCGACGCCGGGGCTGCAGCCTTAGCAATCAGGATGACTTTCTTGTCTGGGAAGACCTGAAATAGCTAAGTGTCGTGCCTATCAGAAGCTGTTCAGCAGCACCCCTGGGCTTACTACTAATAATTCTCGCTTAATTCTGCCCTGGAAGGGCCTACCCAGCACAGGGCCAGCTGCTGGGCCCATGCAGGACACACCAATCAGCTGAATTAAGCCTTTCCATTTCTGACAGTTACAGAGGTGACTATGCTCAACTTGCCAGGTGCCCAAGAGCTCGGGTCTGTGCGGGGAATCGGTGCTGATGATATCCATCACGTGTGCCTGGCTGTTCTTCCACCGAAACAGCCGGCAGCCCCGGGGAGCTGAAAAAGGGAATCTCTGAGACATAAAAGAGAGACTGAGGCAGAGTGCAGGAGCTTTATTATAATCAACATATTCTCAATGTCATTGATTAAGATTATTAAATTTATTTACGGAAACATGTCACATTCAGCGACCTAGAGCCCACAGAGGCACACCAGGGATAGCTCAGAGCACACGGAACACGGGCGGCCCCTCAGGTTGCTGAACTAAAAGGGATTATGGATGTTTCAGGAGTTGGGTACCAGAAGGTGAGAAGGTCTGCACAGGGGACCTGGTGTTACCTGCTCTAAGGTCCTTGCCTATGTTTGGTCCCATATGACAGAGCAAGGCTGTGGGTTCCATGGTAGTGTTGCACCCACGCCTGGGTCTCTAGTGTGAGCCTTGGTTCTTGGTACTGAAGAGGCCTTCAGTAATTAAGAACAAAGAGACTGACCAAACAGGGTCTCGAGGTGTATGTCCTGCTCCTTGTTAAGCCTACTCCTGGGATACCAAATTGATTATAAGATTCAAAGAGCCTGCCCCTCCTCCAGTGAAATACCAAATTGATTATAAGATTCAAGGAGCCCGCCCCTCCTTCAGTGAAATGGCACAGGCCTGGTGCATAGTTCCAGAATGGTTGGTGGTGCAGATGCTGCAGGTCACAGAGCATCGGGACAGCCAGGAGTACTTTGTGAGCAGCAGCACTCTAGAAGGTTCTATGTATGGCTAAGGGAGCCCTTTAACTTTTCAGAAAAGCAGGAATTCTGCAGCCATGAACTGGGGCCAGTACAGGGTATCCTAGGGCAGGAAGTAATAACAATTTATAAAATCCATATCATAGTGTTTTGTTTTTCTAACTTTATCAAATCTCCCCAAGGTGACTTCTTCCTCTTAGGACCAAGAGTAAGAACTTTAAGAGATTGCCAGTATGAAGGACTTCCTCAGGACTCGCCATGTTCTGCCAATGGCACTTCTTGGGGGTGGGGTATGGTGACCCTTCAGTGACACACAACTCGGACTCAAGGAAAACTTTTGCAGTTGGAGCCTCTCTAGTTTTAAATATGGGGATCTGAGACAATGAGGGTTCACTTTGCTTTGCCTTAGGCTTCTGAACTTAGTAAACTGCCCGGAAAGTGCAAGTTCCTTTGGTCAGGGGAGCATCGTAGGGGGCGGGCCTGGGTGCTGTGGCTGCAGAGGGTGCAGGGGCCTGAGCGCAGGTCACTTGCGAGGTTGTTGGATATGCTGTGTTCTTGGAGAAACATGTTTGTCCATGGAGGCATGCGGCTTCTGGTGGGCCACTTGTGCAGCCGCCGGGGGAAAGTCTTTGTCACCCTGCGAGGAGACAACACACAAGCTGGTTAACAGGAAGTGAAAGGGGTAGACAGTTCTCTGAACTGAGCCCCACCCTTTGCTGCAGTGCTGGGGATGAGTGGGTACCAGGCTACCTCTGCAGCTGCCAGGCCCTGCAGGCCAGCAGAAGCACAGAGCAGAGGCTTGAGTCCCTGCTGGAAAGTGAAGGTGCCTGCAGGTTTGCCTGGAGAAGACCCAGCTGTGGTCCCTTCTAGGTCTGTTTCTGTCATCTGAACCGGGAGCAGGACAGGCCAAATGCAGAGTCTCAAACTAGGATCCAGCAGCAGGGCAGTGGGCAGGCTTGGGGAAGAGCTGGTGCAGAAGCAGCCTGCGGGGGCCTGGAGAAAGGGGTGGGCTATGCTCGGCTTCTTATGCCAACAGTGGGGTTTGATCCAGGCAAGGGCAGACAGAACTGTGTAATCACGGATTGAATCTGGCCCCATGCAGACAGTTAATATTCTTGCCCACAGTCGACCTGCCATGGGCTGGCTGGCCCTAGGGCTTAGATGGCTGAGGCAGTTCTGTTGGTAAAGTTGTCTCCAGCAATGGTGGCAGAAAACATGAGTGTAGTCCAAGGGTCCGCAAACAAAAGCAGTCAGGCAGGACCCACATGGGCATGCCTGGCTGTATAATACTAAACCCTCACTCACAGATACAGAACTGGCATTTCATGTAAGCCTCCTGTGTCATCCGCTGTACTGACACTGGGAAAACATGTGCAGGCCAGGCTACTTAAGGCCCAGAGCCATAGCCTGTGGGGAACAGGCAGGTGATCAGCTGTGGGCGTCACTGATTTCTACCCACTGAAGCACTGGTGTTTATTAAAGGCATAGGCAAGAAGAGATTGCATGGGAGTTCATGCGCCCACACTCTTCCAGGAGTGGATCAGGTGTCTGTGTGCAGAGGTCACACTTACCCGGGCAATAACACCGGAGATGTACACTGTTGGTTTAGGCGGGCTGGAAAACAGAGGGGGGGGGGGGAGAGGATTTAATGAATGATTCACACAAGGGGAAAAAGAGCAAGGCGGCTGTGGAGTCCAGAATGAGCAGTGGCGGCTTCTGCCACCGAGGAGGGAAAAGAGGAACGGGGAAGCTGACCTCTTTCCTCTGTTGCTTTGTCAACAACCAGGCTGGGGAGGAGGTTGGGGGCTGCAAGGTTTTGGGACTATGAGTCTCAGAGCTCAGGAGATATATGGGGCTCGGAGCGGTGGGGCTCAGGGTCTGTGAGTCTCAGGGGGCCATGGGACCCCGGGGCTGGTGCGGGAGAATTGTCTGTATTCTGTCAATCATGTTTTAAATAAAATGCTGATTGGCCAGGCAGGAGGTGTAGGCGGGAAAACCAGACAGGAAGTGGAAATGATGCAAGGAGAGCAGGAGAATTCTGGGGAGGAGGAAGTTGATTCCTCCCACTCCTGCCCAGATCACCGAAGCCACAGGATGTGAGCTGCCCCACTGAAAAAGGTACTGAGCCACATGGCTAAAATAGATCAGAAAAATGGGTTAATCAAGATGTGAGAGTTAGCCAGTAAGAAGCCTGACCTAATGGGTCAATAAGCATTATAACTTATAGGTTAGGGTTAGGGTTAGGGTTAGAGATCTCTTGTGTGGTTGATTTTCTCTGGGGCTTGCCGGTTGTGGGGTACCAGGCGGGGACAGAAAACACAAACAAGCAGGCCCAACATGTTACACGGGGTTGTGGGGCTCAGGGAGCTGTGGGACTCTGGAGCTGTGGGGCTCGGAGTGGCGGGGCTCAGGGTCTGTGAGTCTCAGGGGGCCGTGGGACTCCGGGGTTGTGGGGCTCAGGGAGCCATGGGGCTCAGGAGATATGGGGCTCAGAGCGGCCGGGCTCAGGGGGCCGTGGAACTCCGGGGCTGTGGGGCTCAGAGCGGCGAGTCTCGGGAGCTGTGGGACTCGGGGACTGTGGGGCTCAGGAGCTGTGGGGCCGCTTCTGAGGTTAGTCCAGGAAGAGAGTGGAAACGGATTGCAGCAAATAACAGCAGAATTACATAAAAGCACCGATTCTTTTATTGCTGGAATGAGTGAGGCTGTGAGTCTATGAGACTGGAAACAGGCTTCCCTGAAGTGGGGGCAGAAACAGCTTCACACGGGGTATTCCTTTTTAGGGTCCCCAGGGTCCATGGCTTCTGGAAGTTTCTAACTGGGGAGACTCGCGTCAAAGCAAACTCCTGGCCCTGGTGCCCCCCCTAAGAATTATAAAGGCAAAAAAAAGTCACTGAAAACTAAAAAACAAAACCAAAATTATGTTTATGGGTATTTTCCTGCATGCATCTGTGTAGCGCTTGTGTGCTTGGTGCCCAGAGAGGCCAGAAGAGGGCGTCAGATCCCTCAGAACTGGAGGTGCCTTGTGAACTGCCCTATGGGTTGTGGGAATAGAACCCAGGTCCTCTGGAAGAGCAGCTAGTGTTCATAACTGTTGAACAATCTCTCCTGCCTCACTACTTGAAAAATGTGTGTGTGTGTGTGTGTGTGTGTGTGTGTGTGTGTGTGAAGGTCAGAGGTCAACCTCAGGGGCAGAACACAATTTTTCAGACAAGGCCCCTCTCTAGCCTGAACTTGCTGAGTATAGGCTGGATGGCCAGGGAGTCCCCAGGATCCACCTCTCTGTAGTGCCCCAGCATTATGTGTTTTTAAAACTTTTTTATTAGGACATATTAATCGTATAAGTTTTCTTTGTGTTCGTGTCAATTCTTAACATCTTAATTCATATTAAGCTCCCTGAAACTGTCTGCAGTCCTGAGGGGCAGAATATAACATCGAAGTAATACGTGTTCCCTGAGGGAAGAGAGATGAGCCCAGACACGTTCAATTGCTGCGATCTCACGCTGCTACTGCCGTGGCTCTCCTGCCCAATTCCTGTGGATCTCGTCGTATTCTTTTCTTCTTCGTTTTTTTTTTTTCTTACAAAAGTAATCACACTGTGTCAGAAACTGCTTGCTGAACTGAGCTATGGCAGGCATATGTCTACATATAAAATCCTGTTACGGGCACTGATTTCTTGGAGAGATGCATGGTGCAGTTCATACACGCTACGATGAGTCTGAAGTAGGGAGCGGGGCACCATGAACTAGCGTCCCGACAGAGCCACACCTGGGTTTGAGATTCTGCTTTAAGTGAGTTTGGGCGCTCTGGTTATTTTAAAAGCTCTTCATTGTCTACCTTTGTACCTGCTCTTTCAACTACTATTCAAACACTTTGGAAGGTGTTAACTAAGCATGACTGGGCCACCAGCTGCCACCAACCCCGAGCCCAAGGATGTCACCAGACGGTCTGAACCCTACAGCGCAAACGATCCCCTCCCTACCTGATGAGCCTGGTAGGTGCATTGATACAACTCTGTGTGTACTCGTGTGTGTAGAGGCGAGAGGCCAGCCTTGGGTTATTCCTCGAGCACCATCCACGTTATTTATTATGTTTGTTTGACATAGGTCCTCTCGGGCTTAGTGTGTGTAGAGCAGGTCTGGCCGACTGGTCAGCGAGTCCAGGGATCTGCCTGTACCCATGTCCCCAGCACGGATCACAGTGCACTCTCCCACACTTTCCTTCTGAGCTGGGTTCTGGAACTCAGGCCATCACGATTGTACGGCAAGGGCTTTGCCATCTGACCTCTCTCCCACTCAAATGCACTGATTTAGGACTTCTTTGGTTCATGTAGCTGCTTCCGTGGTCGAACAATTCACTGGAAGCAATCCAAACTCACGTTCCTGGTCCATATTAACTTCTAGGGAATCCATATTCACGCTCTTGGAATAAACTTACTCCGCTGGAAGCAGGAGCTGTGCTTTGTTCTGACGGTATGTGGGAGGCAGTCGGAGGTAGACTAGGGACAAGGTCACAGCCCAGAAAGACTGGGGGCAGAACACGGACCGAAGGGAGGTCCTTGGGACGCTGTTGTACTCAACGCCAGCCCTGCTAGGCAATGGTTGAAGAAGTATCGCGTGAGCTTCCAGCCCACCTCCCATAGCTCTGCATCTGGGTTATGCCGCAAGGGTCCTTTGAAGGAAGCCACAGTTAGGCTGTGTGTGTGTGTGTGTGTGTGTGTGTGTGTGTGTGTGTGTGTGTGTGTAGGCAAAGGTCCTAGTATTTAGAAAGTGCACGAATGCTTACATTCTAGCAACTATAGCAAAATCACTTGAAATTCCTGAAGTAGTTTCTGTTGCTCCAGGAGCTGAAGAGACTTCACCTTACTGCACAGTTCAGAAATGTCCTGGCATCTCTGTTTCGCCGACTGCTTGTGGTGGGGCTAACAGGTCAGAGCTTTCTCTACCGCATGCCAATTTAACTGCAGAGAGGAGTGAGTTTGCTAGTTCCAAACCTCCTCATGTAGCCAAGGGGCTGTGGCTGCGCAGTCTCAGAACATGCTGGCTACTTCTGGCAGGGACCACCCTGGGAGCTGCAGCCGCAAAGGCACCAGGCCCATCTGTCCAACGTGCAGCCAGCTCTGAGGAGTCTTTGGGGAGGGCTGCTGTCCTGGTACCACGGTGAGGAAGTAATCAGAGATGGAAAGGATGTGAGTCTAACCCCTTCTTGCACACCGAGGAACTTACCATCCTAATCTCAAGATTCACTGTGTTAAAATGGCTTGGAACTCTGAATTACTATGTCATAACTGCTGTTCAAGTTGCCTGGAAACCAGGTTACCAGGGACCTTCCATCAACACCTGCTTCCGGGCATCAAGAACAGTTGATCATACCGCAAGGCTGCCTTGGGTACTATCCCTCTACCTGCCTCCTCTATCTCCACTCCAGCAGTGGCCTGTGGGTGGGGCTTTGCACTGAGTGACAGGAGGTGTGAGAATCAGGATAGGAGAAAACAGATGTAGAAGAAGCTGCCTAGTGTGGCCCTGGCTCCAGCGTCCAGGGCAGGTTGGAGGCAAGCCTTTTCCCGGTCCCCACTTTAACATCCTACCACTCCCTGAGTCTTCCCCCATCATAACCTTAAATGGCTGCAAGGGCTTGAGGGCTGGAAGGAGACCGCAGGGGAAAGAATGACCTCTCCTATCCCATCCATCACAGGGAGGCTTGGGGGGGGGCGACCGTCATAAGCTAAGGACCCACAGGGAGCTCAAGAACAACACTTGAAGACCCGGTAGCTCAAACCAATGTTCATGATGGAGGAGCTCTGTGGTATGGAGCTGGACTCGAGCGCTCCAGGACTCCGGGCACTGCACCCCTACGTGTCCGAGGCCGGATGCGCACCCCTACACGTCTGAGGGTCTACAGCCACAAGCACCACTTTGCTCCTTTTCTCTGATGGAAATCTTTCTGGCCGGTGCAGTTTGGAAGACTTGACCATTGTTTTCTCTCAAGAAACGGCAGCCACCCCTGCCCTCCCTTGGCCTCAAGCCTCTCCAATCTTTAAAATCACTTAGTAAGATTTCAAGGAACTAGGCCAGGAGGTGGTGGTGCACACCTGTAAATCCCAGCACTTGGGAGGCAGAGACAGGCGGATCTCAGAGTTCGAGGCTGGCCTGGTCTACAAAGTGAGTTCCAGGACAACCAGATGTTACACAGAGAAACCCTGTCTCAAAACACCAAACAGACAAACAGAAAAACTGAACAAAGATTCTGAGGAACTGTGGGCCAGAAGGAGTTAGTTCCTATTAGAAGCAGGAGTATTTCCTAGCCACTGGGGGAGGCTGCTTCTTTGTCACCAGGACAGTGACTCCAGGTGCCCCGCACACAGGTCAGTGCCGTTTTTTCCCATCAAAATCCACATTGAACTCTCAACAGGGTCTATTGTCAGAGGCCGCTCGTTCGTTTCCCAGCTGCTCAGACCCAAATAATCACATAGAAACTACATTAATTAAATAACTGATTGACCTATTAACTCTACCTTCTTATTGGCTAGCTCTTACATCCTAAACTAACCCATCTCCATTAATCTGTGCATCCCATGAGGTCATGGCCTACCGGCAAAGTTTCAACAAGCTCCAGTG